AGACCGCATAAGTCGTGGTAACCAGAATATTGCTCCATGTTCTTCGCGTTCATTCCAGCGAGTGCCAGGTGGCCCCGGCCAAGGACCCTAGTTCTAGAAGCGGGACCCACAAGTTACTGTACGCAGCCGTGTCGGATTAATTAGGGGATGGGCACAATACCCTTACATTTAAGAGGGGTCTAATGGAATAAATGAGTTTGGGCTCTTGATGGATGAAATTGAGGGGTATTTTATGAATTTTAACCAGCCCTCTGCTTGTCAGAACTGTCCTCTCGCTGTATCTAGAGAATTATCAGAATAAATGACACATTATAGTTTTCTGCAAGTGGCTGAAGAGTTGAACCAGAGACTTAGAGCATCTCCAACAGCTTCCCCATCTTCTTGAAATACTCAATTTTGGGGAATATAGAGCTTTTTTTTGATCCAACAGATTCCCCATCTCATTCCCCAAAATAGGGAAGAAGGAGAAAAAATAGGGAGCCTTCCCCAAATCTGCAGCATTCTCCAAATTTTTGGGGAGAGCTTTATTATTGTAATAAATGCGATTTTTCAAAATGGGGAAGCTGTTGGAGTTGGAGCAAAAATAATTTGGAGAATATTACTTTTGTTTCTCCATTTTGGAGAAAATTTTGGAGAAGCTGTTGGAGATGCTCTTATAACGTATCTATTCCTCTGTATAATGGCGGGAGGACCCAAATAATTACTATTCATGCTATAATAAACACTACAGTAATTTATTATAATCGTTGTAGCATTTTCAAAGGATATTATTGTAGCATATGCGTGATACGGTAACATTATTGCATTTAAAATACATTATTATAGCAGAGGTGAGATACTATATCATTTTAAAAAATATTAGTGTAGCATTTAAAAAAGTATTACTGTAACATTTAAAAAATATACTATAGCAATTAAAAACGGGATTACTATAGTAATAAAAAAAGGGAAGACAGTACTTCGCACGGGGTGCACACTAGTAGCTATATAAAGGGACGGGCACACCTCTTACTATCTATTATATTAGAAGATTTTGAATTAATAATAAAAGTTAAAGTTTTATAAATTCTATGCTGTAATACGCTTCACATATGACGCATTTCTGGAATAGTGTAGCCTTGACATATTATACGTCATAATACTTTTTTTTTGAAATTCATTTTGGATATGCATCTTTTTTATACTTGCATTATACAAAAAAGGTGTAGCTAAGGGACCGTTTGGATGGAGTATTTTGCTCCGAAAATTAAGAGGAAAGCTGTAAAATGACAGCTTTTTGGCAGCTTTCCCCCAAAATCGCTTCTTAAAAAGGCGATTTTGGAGGAAAGCTGTCAAAAACTGCCACCTCCAAAATCGCCTCTTAAAGATGCGATTTTAGAGGAAAGCTGTTAAAAAATGCTATTTTGACAACTTTACTCTTAATTTTCGGGATAAAATACCCCATCCAAAAGGGCCTTAAGCACTTGATAGGTTCATTTTGAAAGGTGAGCATGAGCCTTTGAAGCGCTTATTCCAAATCTTAGCTTTAACGTGTCAGACTCTTGTGGACCCAAAGTTTCATTGTTACTTGCTAGCAAGCTCACATGACTTGAAGTAAAGATTCCCCCCACCCCCAATTAAAAAAAAAATCACAATTTATGGATTTTCCCAAAAATGAGCCAACAACGAACACCTTGTGCGAGCCCTTGTTTTAGTGGTCAAGCTTCCTGCCAACTGTTCCCTTAAGTGGAGCCCGCATGGGGGTGGGTCCATTAATTCACCGTTAACGTATCTAACCTTTCTTTAGTCTCAACACGTGGCACGTGCCTAGCTACTAAGACAGATTGATTATTTGTTTATTTATTTATATTTGTTGTTAGTCACAGATTAATTATGTTGAACAGCTTACTATTTTATGTGATGAGCTCGGTTCTGATCATAAACTGTCAGCATGGCCTGTTCTAATACAGGAACTAATAATTGTCGAAATGGGAATTTCGCAGCTTACTATTTTAATCACAATCGTTGATTACTTAGTACTCGATTATGATACAATCTAAATCTAACACTCACCGTATACCCGTGTATTGCACTCATTCCTAATTTGCACTCAAAGAAAAAAATTACAACCACCAACTAGATAATCAATGGTTGTGATCATGTAGTGGTCCCTCCACTACCTTTTAGATAGTGGAGAGGATCCGATTCCATCACCCCGTCTTTCTTTCGATGGAATAAGTAGCGTTATGTGATCTCAAGGCCATTTTATCAACTTGGGTTAAACCGGCTTAGCGGAACAAAACCAGTTCAAAATCAATCTCAGCTCCCTAAATAACCACCAAACATGGACTTAAACCGATTTCCTTAGCTGAGGGTAGCCACATGAAAGTTTTTTAAAATTTTATTTTATTTTATTTTATTTTATTGAACAAGAGAGTGGCCGCATTGACCCTGGAAAAAAAAAATTACTAAATTTTTGTCCTCCTTGATAATTGGGAGTTTTTTGTGTACAGAAGCTCGTTGCTAACTCCTGCTCGCTGCCTTCTCTTCCAAGGAAAAGGTATCCCATATAAGATTGTGACTCGTAAGGTTGGAGGTGGTTCTATCTTCTACTTATAAACTAGATGGGCCCTACATAATATTTGGCCCATACATAAACTAGATGGGCCCATACGTAACCGGTGAGCTTAGGAGACGCAGAGGGGTCCTGAGTCCTGTGTCCCTAACCCGTCGTTACTTGCAAACAAATCCCCTTAGTATTACCTAATTGCAAAGAAACCCCCTTGCAGTTTCTACTTGTTGTGAACGGAGTTACTGTAGTATTGGCCTAAGTGCGAATACACCTTCTACGTGAACTTTATGAACTTTTTATAGTATTGGCCTAGGTGTGACTATACCTTCTAAATGAACTTTTTCAACTCTTCTTCTAAAAGTAAATAAAAATAATTAATTAATTAATTAATTGGGTGTATCCTTACCAATAGAACTGTAGGTGCACTACAATAAAAATTGTATGCGACCACCCTTATTTTATCTTATTTTATGACACATATAAAAGTGTCATTTCATTTATAAAGGATTACACAATAGTGACACAAATAAAAAGTGTGGCAAATCTCGACAAATTTTCGCATGGGTAGAAGGACGCTCTCCGCGCGTGCTCTAACCAAACTTTTGATATGTGTCGCATTCTATTTGTACGATACAAAAATGAGTCGCGTAGAGACAAAAAATGTATCATAATTTATAACTTTTATTGTAGTGGGGGTCTATATGCCTCAAACGTTTTAAACGATTTTAAGAGTAGAAAAAAAATTTCACTCAAGGGTTTATTTGCAGCAAGTAGAACTATTAGAGGTCTGTTCACAACAAATAGAGAGTATATGGGATCTCTTTGGGGTGTATTCATAATTAAGCCAATAATATTTGTACTAGGACAGCTAAAGATAATGATTTTTTTGGGAGACCTAGGAAAGTGACCACTGCGGTTGGGTGCCTTGAGCCTTATGTTTGAACAATTATTGGCCGCACATGGTGCGATAAATACCCGGCTTTTCTAGAAGCTAAGGGGGTGTTTGGTTGCATTGTTTTTGAGAAATGTTTTCTCAAAAGTACTGACGCATGGCATTTATGTAATTAAGAGTTTTCTATACATTTCTATAAACTGTGTTTGGCTCCAAAAAAATTTACAGAAATGTTTTCTGTAAAGTGTCCAAAAGTACCAAATTTTATGGAAATTGATTTCCTTCTAAAATGGGAGGAAATCTCTTGGAAATCTGACGCATTCATTATTTAAATAATAAAACTCATTAACTCTTTTCTACAAAGTTCTCACTTTTCTATAAAGTTGGTGGTGTTTGGTTACATTTCTATAAATTATAAGAAATGTTGCTATTTTCCCAAAAGTTATTTCTCATTTTCTTGTTTTGAACCAAACAATCACAATACAAAAAATAAGAAAATTTGTATTTTTTAACTTCTCAAAACTTTTCCTATAATTTTTTTTAAGAAATACAAGGAAATCAAATTTGGGATGGAAAACATTTCCTATAATTTATAGAAATGTAACCAAACACCCCCTAAGAATAAATTTCCGAAATTAGTTGCAAGAAAGTACTTGAAAAATTCTCAGGTAATCAATAAACCCTACACCAAGTAAACGTTCCCAGTAAGATTATAGAACTAGAAGTGCAAAATAATATTTGTTACCTGTTCAATGAAGCTTTATTCGTTGAGAAACTAGCACTTGTTCATAATCATCCGATCATATTGATTCATTTTTTTAATGGCAAAAAAAAAAAAAACTTATAATATTCATTTGTCGACTACTATCATTTGTCCACAGATTTCTTGAACAATTCACATTGGCAAGTTCTTGAACAACCTCCTCCTCAGATTTCTTGATACATAATTTACGTTGTCCGCCAAAACTTACTCCCAACAGATACCTCCAACCAAATGCAGGTGTTCCTCCTCTGCCTCTTGGCCGGCCTGCAGCATCTGCTGGTCAAACACCGTCTGCTTCGTCGCTCTGCATCCAAAACTTTCCCCGTAAACCGCCTCCCTCGGCCTCGCCTCACCGTCAGCTTCAACGCGTCAGCGCCGCCCTCTTACTCCCTTGCCGCCAACGCCCTGCCGCGCGGGGGCACCGCCGCGGCACCCCTCCTCCTTACTCACTCTCTCAACGCCGTCCTCCCCCTCCTCGCCTCCCGCAGCCGCCCTCGTCCCCATTCCTCGCCCCGCCGCCGTCCGGACACCCCACCGCCCTCTCCCCCGCACGGGCCCGCCGCTGACTCTCACGCTTCCTCCTCCTAAATGTTCCTCGCCTTCCCACCGGCGTCTTACCTCCTCTCCTCAGCTCCGCCGATGTCGTCCACCCGGGACCGCCGCCTCTCTTCGCCGGGTGCTTCGCCCTCCTCCTCCTCCGCTTTGGCATCCCTTGGTCTCGTTCCTTCTGCCCAGCCGACTGGGCCCGCCGCACCATCTATCTAGCTTCACGACGTTGACGTGACGAAACAACGGTCTGCAGAAGGGGGACTGTTAGACGGAGGCGAGCAGACTGCTGAGAGGAGCGAGCGGGCAGTCGAGATGGTGCTTGGGAAGGACAGGTTGTCGGTGCTCGGGGAGGAGCACGGGGCCAGGCGGCTCGTCCGTCGCATCGACTTCTGGCTCTACTACCTTGCGTACTTCTGCGGAGCGACGGTCGGGTTGGTGTACAGCAACAATCTAGGCCAGATCGCCCAGTCATTGGGACGTCAGAAGCAGACTACATTGCTGGTTACCGTCTACTCGTCCTGCTCGTTCTTCGGACGGCTCGCATCTGCTGCTCCTGACTTTTTGCGAGGGTTAGTATATATTCATCCAACAAAACACTCATCTCATTTGAACAAAACATTTATAACAGAAAGACTAATCGAAGTCCTAATTACACAAGAAACTGAACAATTTTCTAAACAGAACCACCCTGTAAACATAACTTGCTAAGTAAACCAAGTCCTCATGTAACAGACTCTCCATACATTGCATCATATACTAAACCTAACCCAATCGATGTTTTCATGCAGAAAGGTGAACTTCGCGAGGACAGGATGGCTGGTGATCGCTCTGATACCAACGCCGCTAGCGTTCTTCCTCCTAGCCGCAGGCAGATTGACGTCGAGGCCACGGCGTTACTAGCCGGCACGGCCCTCGTAGGCATGAGCTCGGGGTTCAATTTTCGCCGCGGCGGTTTCGCGTTAACCGCGAGCTGTTTGGTCCTGGGCAGCGTCGCTGTACACACCGTCAACCACAACATTCTTCATCACCACATTACATCGGCTCGGCTTCTTTATGGTCTCCTCGCTGCGCTTGTTTATGACGCTAATGGAAAGTACGGGCTCATGGATGTGGTAGTTAACGATGGGATGGTGGTTTGTATGGGGAGAAAATGCTATGCGAAGACGTTCTTGTGGTGGGGGTTTCTGAGCTCGTTTGGGCTCGCTTGCAGCGTCGCGCTGTACCTGAGGACCAGAACAGCATATGAGAGGGCGGAGAGGAGTAGGGTTATAAATGAGATACATGGGCAGAATTATCGATAAATATCGACAAAAAAGATCGATTAGGGTTATAAATGAGATACATGGGCAGAATTATCGATAAATATCGACAAAAAAGACCGATAAGGGCAAAGAACCACAGCGGATTGGCGCCATACCGATCGAATATGTGCTGGTTGACGATTTTTTGTTGTATTGGTAGGGAGGCAAAAGAGCTGACCTGCTAATGATCACGTGTTGTCGCGCAAGGTTTTATTTATTTATTTTAAAATACCAGATGTTATGTATATGACAGTGTACAGCTCTTGGCGTTGTGAAGGTGATGTGCACAGTTGAGAAAGTGAAGTAATGTTCGTAACTCGGTATGAGAGTTTTTGTCAAGATGAACAGGTTTGAACGCTGAAAGCAAGAGGAAGATGAGTATACATGACACCAAACCAAAACTGAAGTCGAGACATATGATATATGCATTAGTCAATTACACAGCTAGTGAAATTGGCAAGAACAATTTCTCGAACGGATGCAGAATTGGTGAACGACGTTGCAGGAGTGCGTGATAATATCAATGGAGTTACCAGTCAATATCAAGCAACCCCTCACTATTGCTTCTTTCATCCGAAAGAATACACAGAGGAGGAAATCTGGAAGAAAGGGCAAGTTGGTGTAATCGTAGATTTTTATGTAGAACATAGTTTTTTATGTGAAGGTGCTGAAAATGCATTGACAATATTCCAATCGGTTGAATTGATACCATTACATTTAAACATGAATTTGTTAGAGGATTTGGATGATATTGCGTGCGTTGTCATTTCTAGCTACATAATGCGACTAAAAACTAAGACTGTGGCTTCTGAGGTTTGAGGTATGAATAGGGAATTGTAGTACTTCGACAGTCATAATAGCATATTGTATCAGAGAAGCCTGGGAGATGAATACAATTCTAGGGATATTATCACGACAAAAGCAAATCATCTAGTGACTAAAATTAAGGATCCGACTCATTTCATGAGAACACAATTATCTTACTAACCTGCGCCAATTCGGGCAACAATGAAGGCAGGAATTTTAGTCGTCACTGATAACAGCAACGAAGGCAGGAATTTTAAGGGTCATTGATAACTCTACATCGCTGTTCAGTAGGGAAACAGAGAATCCACAAGGCAGACAGCCATAAAAAAAAAGACTATGTTACGAAAACAGAACTACGTACAACGTATACATCAGTTTTCACGAGCTGACGAAAAATCTAGAAGACCATGATCATCACCTAATCAGATATTTTGAACTTCAATTAGAATCAGAACTACTGTAGCCAGGAAACACTGATATGGATAGTGGCTACTGAAAAAGGACTTGCATTAGAAACACTAGACAATGTTTCATTATTTGATGGATTGCTATAGAACAGAATCAATGTTTTTTCCGCATTGGAACCATGTTAAAAAAAAAAAAAAACAGGAAAACACTAAACAAAGGAATTTCCTCAAGGGTGCTGCGAAATCCATTGAAATCATCAATATATGAAGTTCTCAGTAATAAGGACTTGGGAAAAGAAGCTATGAGATGTTGAGGTCTCAGGAGAATCTTGAAGTATCATAGAATGGTGTTGACGCAATTGGGTAACAGTGGAAACCAAGCTGACGTGCCATTTTTTTTATACTCGGCTTCACAAATGGATTCAAGGAGCAGAAACCAACTGGGTTCGGAGTAAAGGTATGAAATTCTCAATCTTTTCTTTTTCGAAGCTACTTAAGGTTAGCATCTCTTAACAAACCTCTAAAATTTACTCATCTTTTTCGATAGGGGGAAAAATCTCCTAGGTTACTGCACTTGAAGTTCTATCTACTCCTCAATCCCTCCTTAATGGCAATATGGGATTTCAGAGTTAAATATCTCCAATTTTCTGATTACAATCCCTTGTATAACTTTTCTACAATCTACGATCTATCCTAGTTTCCTTTTACTTCTTAAACAACCAGTATAATTCACAATTAATATAAACTGAAAAGGGTATGGTATACTTCTCATCAGCAAATTAAGTTCCATGTTCTCACAGATATTTTCCTGGAGAGGAAAATTTCGTACAGACCTTAAGAACTAGGTTTTTCCTCAACCGAAACTCTCAAGCTATTTCCCCTATTTACAAGATTAAAATGCTTCTATCATAACTACTCACAAGAAAAGAGGTTTCAGGATCAGGCCGAAGAAAACATGTTCAGTTCTACTAGAAGCACTGCCAAGACTCCTTTGCCGACTGATATACCACAGACCTTTTTCTACAAGCACATCCCTCATTCAACAAAATGTTTCAATTTTGTTCCTATTTGATACTTTCATAAGTAAAATACTTTCGCCTTAAAGTACAAAAGTCAATCAGAAGCAATGACAGGCTCAACCTATTTATAAATCAATAGTTTCAGATGGTTTACCCTAATATTCACGCTTCCATCTAGGATTCACTGCTGTCCATATGCCTACCTAGCAATTCACTTGTATAGTCATGAACTGTAAAGGGAACCATTACAGATAAAGAGATTGGATTTGATTAACTTCAAGTACTATTATCTTTCCA